AAAGAAAGAAAGAAAATTCCGAAATAAAGGAAGCAGGAGCGTTGCAGCGTGAAAAAATCAACGGACTGTGCTGTGAAAATGAGCCATCCTATTGGTCAAAATATGTTGCGTTTCTAGCCAATAGAAAGAGAGAATTTTATTTGCATAACCCCGCCCCGTGCTTTCAGAATCCAATCAGAAGTGGAAACTTTAATACCCTCATTTGCATTACAGCGCTATAAATAAACCTGCTCAAGCCTGTTCCTCTTGCTTACTTTCTTGTGAAAAGTAGAAATATCTACTTGGACAGTTGTTAAGGACGGCTATGCCTGAGCCCTCAAAGTCGGCTCCGGCCCCGAAGAAGGGCTCCAAGAAAGCCATTACTAAGGCACAGAAGAAGGATGGCAAGAAGCGCAAGCGCAGCCGCAAGGAAAGTTACTCCATCTATGTATACAAGGTGCTCAAGCAGGTGCACCCCGACACCGGCATCTCGTCCAAGGCCATGGGCATCATGAACTCGTTCGTGAACGACATCTTCGAGCGCATCGCGGGCGAGGCCTCGCGCCTGGCGCACTACAACAAGCGCTCGACCATCACGTCCCGGGAGATCCAGACGGCCGTGCGCCTGCTGCTGCCCGGGGAGCTGGCCAAGCATGCCGTGTCCGAGGGCACCAAGGCGGTCACCAAGTATACCAGCTCCAAGTAAATGGTCCTGAGGCCGCGTTGACTAAACCCAAAGGCTCTTTTCAGAGCCACCCACGTTTTCTCAAAAAGAGCCACTTCGCTATTTTTCCTTTTTTAAGGTAGAAATGTTTGGTAATCCTGTTGGAACTGTCTCTTTGTATCTGCCGCGTTTTCTTATTTTCAGAAAGCCTTGCTGCATTGACAAGGCTCTTCATCTTATTCCTTACGTTACTAGTCTCTAGATTATGTGTGTACACCACCATGCTTGCCCATGAAGGCTCTAAACTGGGCAAGAAGCAAAGTAGACCCTGCTTCAAGTGAAAAGAACCCGTGCAGTCCGGAGGAGGAGCTGCTCAAGGCAGGGATCTGAGTAGAGTAGAATGGAGGACTCCTTTAGAGTTAGTTGCTGGTGTCGAGTGGTTGGGGATAAATGTGGTAGGATCTGCCAGAGAGGCCTTAAGATCCTGAGGGGCTCTGTTCACTTTGAAAAAGGATTTACCATGGGAAGGCAGATTCGATGCAAAATTTAAAAATCTTATGAAATGTGTGATACAGATTCATTTTTTTCTAGTGGCTCAACTGGGAGAGATTGGAAGGTAGTGAGATCAGAGGTCAAGAGGTTGGAAAAGCCAGTCAGCAGCAAGATTAGAAATAAGGCAGTCGGAAAGAGGAGGAGAAAAAGGAGGAAGGAGGATGGAAGGGACAAGAGTCAGCTGACTTGAGGGGAAAATAAAGGGGGACAAACCTGAATGACATGTAGACTTCAGCTTCTGCTGAAATGCAGAATTTCACCAGTTTGGCCTCTTCTCAGTCCCTGGAACCTTCCTTATCACAAAACATAGAATACATAAGAAACATAAGAAAAAGCTTGCAGAAGGAGGATTGGGGGGAAAGAGAATTTGCTTTGTTCATTCATACTAGAAATATTTATTACTCATCCACTATGAGCCAGGCACTGTTAGAAATCCTATCAATGCCTGGCTCATAAGGGCTGGGGATGTGGCTCAAGGGGTAGCGCGCTCGCCTGGCATGTGTGCGGCCCAGGTTCAATCCTCAGCACCACATATGAACAAAAGATGTATCCGCTGAAAAACTAAAAAAAAAAAAAGGTTAAAAATTCTCTCTCTCTTTCTCTTTAAAAAAAAAAAGAAATCCTATCAATATGGCAGTGAGTAGAATATTAAATTGAGTCACACACATTTGACTGCTTTTGACCCTCAGAGAAGACAGTCTCATGTTTCAGCCTATCAACAAAGTGCCTGAATGCAGTGAGTACTACAAGTTAGGCTCCTCAGACCTCAGGCATCTTCTGGCTGATGCACATCCCTTGGTTGATAGAGCAATTTGTGTAGCCAACTAGTATTTTCTAGGGATAATAATGAACCTATTGACCTATCTAACATTTATTGATGGCTTGTTAACTGTAAGCTATACTCAAATTATTTTGTTTTAATTCACTTCATTGTCTCAACAGTCTTAAATAGGCTCTGCTATTAATCCCACTTTATAGCTGAAAAGGTAGAGGGTCAGCAAATTATCTGAAGAATAAACTTAATGAAGCTTGAAGTGAGACTAAAGGAGAGCTTCAGTTTGTGAATTCAGCTCACCATCCTGCAGCCGCCTTGAGTCGACTGCCCCAGAGGAACGCCAGTCAGTCTTTCCTGCATAGTTTCCCAGCAAACTAGAAGTAAACCAAAGCTTTGCAGTGGTGTGTGGAACTTTACAACTTGACCCTGCCCAAGGAATGTACACAACTCCTCCATATTAATTCAAGACTTGCCAGTTGCAGTCCAGCCAGAATGGAGTTGCTTTTGTCTTAATTCACCTAAATACTCTCCTTCTGACCCAAACTGCAGGGATCCTTGCTGCTGTCCAGAACCATGCTTCTGTCAATAATTCCTCAAAAAGTTGCACTCTATGCAATCCTGGATCTGTCTAACTCTCCTGTTCTTACTCTTCTAACTCTTTAATCTCATGGCATGGGGGGGGGGTTGATCTCAGGTACAAGGACTGAGTTGTTCTGGAACACTGAGGCAGCGCAGACAGGGGACAATGAGGAAGGAAAATGGGAATGGGCCACATTTCTGGAGCCTCACATTTAGAAGCTTCTCATACATGAAATCCTAAGCTCACAAGCTTCTTGGGTAGAAGTGATAGATAATAGAAGTGAGCAATGGGAGCCGAATGTTGACACATTTCTTGAGTCTGAATTACTCTGCTGACCCCCCCGCCCCCCATGCTTTCTTTTAAAGGGCAGTTTACCTGCGGCCTTGTCCTGGCTTAAGTAAATAAGCTATGCTACATTCTCAGCAAAAATCTGTTATCTGCAGAAGAAATTCATGAGCTTTACGTCGACCAAAGATTCCGGGGCTCAAAGATGCAGGATCTCACTGGCTTGGCCTCTGCTCATTCCTGGGAACCTTCCTTACTACCTTTAAAGGGACCGAGGCTTCCGGGGTCTGACATCTGCGTTTCCGGATTTAAGAGCTTTCCAAATTCAGCCTGTTTCAAACTCCTTAAAAATTCCCGGTTCTGTGGAACGTACGCCTTCTTCGCAGGAGGAGATCCAGTACACGTATTTTTCTTATTTTCGTTTTCCCAAATAAATTCCGCCTACTCCTGTGTGCGTCCCACTCGCGATTCTTTCTTGCTAGATTGCAAAGAACGGGCGGTCTTTAGGACCCTGCGCGCGTCCTGTCTTCCCAGTCGGTCCCCCGCAAACGCTTTCTGCCGGGCGTGGGCAGCTCCCGCCGCTCGGGGACCGCGCTCGGCGAGGTGAGCGGGGACTTCCCCAGCTGCTTCGGCTCCCGGGATGCGGGCGGCTAGCCCCGTAAAGCCAGGACCGCATGCAAAATGCCAAGGCGAAGAGCAGACCTAGAGGAAGAGAATGTTGCACACGATGGGAAATCAAGACGTGCACCGTCCCTCGGTTGACCAGGGCTCTCGGGTGAGCCCCGAGTGGAGCAAGGACAGGGCTCGGGAAGACTTGAGCACGCTTGGGCGAAGCTGTGATGCCCAGTCTCAGGCAGAGTTGGGCTTGATGGAGCAGGACAGCCACAGAACTCTGATCCAAACAGCATTATATTCAAATAAAACCGCAGTGCTAAACTAGTTTACTCCGTCGTTCCCTCTTCAAATGTCCTTTGGATCTTTATGGTTAGAAATAATGAGTCAACCTCTGAGAAATCTGTGTTCTAATAAACCAGAGTACTAGTGTTTGCATTACTATTAGAGGCATTTATACCAATTCCTCGCATTAATTGCATTGTTTCTATGCTTCAGTAAAGACACCATACCTGCTGTAAACTCATGGTCAAAGTCCTCCCGATTTTTTTTTTTTTTTTTTTTTTTTTACTTCAATGGAGGAGAGAGAGGAGAGAATTCACCTTGGGAACCGGGCCCAATGTAACAATTTAGAAAATTTGCACAATGGATCAATTTTAACATGTAGCTATTACTCAGTTGTAATGGTTGAATTTTATTATGATGAAAATGTAAAACGGTGGTGTAAGATGAAAGTGGAAAAAGCAGCTTGAGTTGAATAGGCTGAAGTAGCTTGTAGGACATGTGGAAGCTTTTCAAAGCCACTGGTGCCACTGGTGCCACTGGCCAGACCAACTGGACCAGGTCATGACCTGAGAGAAGATGGTCCCTCCTCCGGCGCACTATGCCCAGATCCTGAGAAAGCCAAGGAATAACAGCTAACTTCCCAAATACCCAAGGGGCTGCGAAGGCCTCTCTTGAAATGGCCAACTCGGTTTCAGAAGCGAGAAGGAACTGCTGCGGCCAATGTTAAACAAGAGACAGAGAACTCCAGGAAGGGCCAGGTAAAGGAGGGAATGGTAGCGCAGAACATTATGAAGTTGGACGGAGAAACTTTTAAATATGTCTCTTCCTAGAATCTGCAGTTTAAGCACCGCCCCCCCTTTTTTTTTTCCTTGAAAACGTGGGACGGGCTTTCTCTGGGATTTCTCTGAGCTTGTGCCACTGGCTTGGGAAGTTCTCAAACAGGTCCGAAACTCTGCTATATATATCATAGCTCAGAGGTTAGAGCGTCAGTGTCTGTTCATTTTGGCGGGATGTCTGGTCGCGGCAAGGGAGGCAAAGGCCTGGGCAAGGGCGGCGCCAAGCGCCACCGCAAGGTGCTGCGCGACAACATCCAGGGCATCACCAAGCCCGCCATCCGCCGCCTGGCCCGCCGTGGCGGCGTCAAGCGCATCTCCGGGCTCATCTACGAGGAGACCCGAGGCGTGCTCAAGGTGTTCCTGGAGAACGTGATCCGCGACGCCGTCACCTACACGGAGCACGCCAAGCGCAAGACGGTCACGGCCATGGACGTGGTCTACGCGCTCAAGCGCCAGGGCCGCACCCTCTACGGCTTCGGCGGCTGAGCGTCCTGGTGTCGCCACCGCCTGCTTTCCCCAACTAAAGGCCCTTTTCAGGGCCGCCCACTCCCGCGGAGGGGCCGCAGCACCGACAGGTTCGCCTAAACTCGGGCGCCCACCCCGACCCCGCGTCCTCGGTTAAGGTGAAGCGGATCCTCCCTGAGCACCGGGGCTTCGGGGCTCCTCTTCTGCTGCAGAAGGGGTGGGTGGGCTATTAATGGTCTCACTGACCCTTTTTCTCTACCGTCGTTGGTAGGTTGAAGGTCTTGAAAGCCAAGTGGTTCTGAGACCAATGTTAAAATTGGGAAGCCATCAAAGGGTTCCAACAAAGTCACATAAACACGAGGTCACATTTGAGAACTGTGTTAAGATATGGGGTGCCCTTGCCTCACCAAGGCAGCCTTTAAGACAAAAGGAGCAGCTCTTTATACCATGATAAACATCTTGTAACCCCTTTAGTGGATGCCTGTGATAGGCTTCACATTCTGGATTAGTGCTTATTTAATGAAACTTCATTGTATTTGGACTTTTCTGGACTGGGAGGTTTTGTTTGTTATTTTCCTTACATATGGTAAGTTTTTTTTTTTTTAAAACCTAATTGTGATAATTTCCATTGATTTGTTGAATAATTTTGGTTTAATCAGCGCTAAAGAGAAACTATTATATTGCACATACTTTAAGTGTTTTTTTTTTTTATATCATTTTAAAATCTGGCTTAGAAATCTGACCTTTGCTTACTGCCCGATGTAGTGAAGCATCATAACACATGTAACAACACAGCCTTTTCCAAATCAACGGCCAGCTTTTGCAATGCAGCCACTGCATTATTTATATATGTAATATTTTAGGAGGTGCTTAAGGGACCATAAGTCGTACATATTGTTTCCTAATAGTTTATAGTTAGTCATATGCAATTGTAAGAACTGTTATATTCTGCATAATATAAGAAAAGGGGCAGGTCGAAAAAGGAAATTTTGTCTCTTAACCAGATAAAATGTTATTAATATATTGTTTATCAATTATGCTTTTTAAAAAGATTAGCACAAATGTGGTAATACATTGGCCTTACATGGATTGGTTTTGCTCCTAGGTATACATACTTTTGCTGTTATATAATAGGAAATATTTTTATGGGATAAATTAAAAGGCCTGGAAGTCTGTGTCCCCATTATTGACAGTATGATACCTAAATAAATGATTTCATCCTTTTGCCTACTGTTTTTGAGTCATATACTGAACAAGTCATAATCTCCATCATCTACATACACTAATCCAAAGCTTCCTACTACAAATTACAGATCTGAGATTGAGTTTTCAAGAAGTATCAAAAGAAAAGTCTACAGATACCATTCAGACTAAAGTTGAGGACTGATTTAAGATTTTCAAAACACAATAGAAGTAGAAGGCTTCACCCAAGATCAACAAGGCTAGAATTATTTAGTTAGGAGTGAAATTACTGATTTTATTGTTGCTAAAATTCCTTTACTAATTTCTTCCTAACTTACTTTTAGTTGCTATCTTTTTAAATTTCCAGTTTCAGGAAAATATTGAACAACTTCTGATATATTGTTAGGAATACTTGAGAATGTCTTTGTAGAAAATATACAACACACATGGATTGGCCTTGTTTAGAAAACAACAGAGGAGAGATTGGATGTTATACAAAATAATTTTACTATGCCCCAGTACTTTTCATAGGGATGTAGTTACCGACAGAGGACTCACTCTTTCTTAAAACAAGCAGTCTTTTATCTCTTCACAACTCTATCATGAAAACAGACCAAGTAGGACAAATGATTAGATTCAAAATACCATATTATGAAAATACTTGTTTAAGGGTTGGATCATAATTGCTAGAATTCATGGTCTTGGTTTCCTGACATTTGAAAATTTGGCTCTACCGTAGTTTTACTTGACAATATTTAGTTGTGATGATGAAATTCCCCACATGTGTCAAGGGTGGATGATTAGTAAGTACAGCACATGTTCAAATATATTATAATTAAAAAGGAAGGGGGGATAAAGAACTGAGAGTAAATGATCAGGAGGCAGTACTTATACAGGATACACCTGGATGTTAAACATGCTGGAGATTCCAAGTGCCTCAATTCAGCTGCCCACTGGCAATACCCAGTCTGGCCCATGTGGCCTGTTTCCAGGAAGCAAGCAAAATGCATGGTTCTCTATCTTGTGTTGAGCACCAGCTGTGGCCAGGCATATTTTGTCTCTCTTCTTCAATATAGTAGGTCCCTGTCGTGGACCAGGGTACCTTCCATGAAATGCAGGTACCTTCCACCTTGCCTGAACCTGGACTCTGTTCTTAATAGCTCCACCATCACTGACAATGGCTGATGCATCTGTGAGAGATGAAACACATGAGCACTCTCCAGCCCTCTGTGCAGCTGCTGGGGCCCACCTGCTCCATTCTCGTCTTGTTGTTGACTTTCCTGAGCTGCAGGGCATTTAAAGTGACTCCATATGCCATCTAACCCCAGCCTTTTAATTTGGCTGTAGTCTTTTTGTACCATGGCAGAGTTCATCTGGTAATGTATTTGGAGACTACCCTGGCCTCAGGATCACTCCCACAGGATAAAAGTGGAAGCAAGAAAACATTAAGGAGACAAAGGCCACAGAGGAGATAGTCCTTCACAGGTGGAGGTCTTGAGAGATGGTAATTTCTGGGTATTTTTTGAAGGAGAAAAGAAGGAGCTTCTTGAAGAATTGAATGAAAAAAATGTAAAAACAGACACAGGTGAAATCATTATCAACCAAATGGGGTGATTTCTAAATATAAGACTTGGCAGGGGAATATGAGGTGTTCCATTTTACATATATCACCCTTAGTTTATGAAGTATGCATGTGAGGAAAGAAAGCAGAGTTGAATATATGTCTGGAGGAGGGAAACCTGGGTTGGAGATGTAGAAGTGGAAATCTTTTATGTACAGATGGAGTTTAAGGTTCTGGTAGATGAGATCTCCAAGGGAGTGAGTTCAGACAGAAAAGTCCTAAAATCAGCCCTGTGCTGCTGTCTGTTGAGGGGCTGGGGAGAAGATATGGCCTAGCAGTAGATACAGAACCATTGGGTGGGTAGGGCTAGGGGGGGTAAGGATGAGTTGGGGTTCAGGTGAAGGAAGTACAGAAGAGAGACATTGTCAGTCCAGTGTGCAGTATTTTCAATAGCCAAGTAAAATGAAGACTGAGTGCTGATAATTGGTCACTAGATGTAGCAAAATGAGATCTTAAAAACCAGTTATTTTGTCTTATAGCAAAAGTAGCACCATGGGGCAGAGGGATTTCTTTCTTTTCTTTTTATTTTCTCCTTGTATCACTGTGCCAAGTAAGGGTTTGAAACATAGTAGTTATTCAAGGAACTTATTGAATGAAGGTTTGAACTAATTTCCTAATGCCCATTGAGACCTCTGTCAGTAATTTGCTTGGCAAGAGCAGAGTACTAAACAGGCAGCAACACTAGCAAATCCTGTGGAGTAACAGTGCTGCCTCTTAGGGTCTTAAAGACTATAGTTCCTTCTGGCATGGGTGTCACAGTGCAGCTGGAGAGGAAAGCCCAGACTCCTGATTTCTGGTGTCTTGGTTGTAACTGCTGGACATAGCAAATGCTTATAGCAAGGTCTGCTCTGTGTAGGTGTCTAGTCAATTCCCTAGCAATTTGCTAATCAGACACATTTTGTTTTTAAATAATTTTTTTTTCCACACTAAACATAAATTTACCTCTTCCCTACACTTGGAACCAATAACTGCAATTTTTATTTTTTTAATATATCAAATTAAAAATCTCTAACTGTATTATTAACTGACTTACCAGATAATGTAGGCCCCCAGAATAAAAGGAATAAAACTTGGGGGTTTCTGGGGGACAGTGGGGACAAAGGGAAGCTGAAGGGAAGAGTAGGGGCATGAAAGTCACCTTGTTATACAGATGAGTGTCTCAGGTTACAGAATCATCTCTGTGTGCTTTTTGGTCCAAGTGACTTTGCTAGTGAAATTTTCCTTTATAAGCGTAAGCCTCCCTTACAAAAGGGAAATATATATTTTATGCAGTCGAGGGTGAAGGAGATTTTTCTGTTGGCTGCTTCTCAGTTCTCTTCAGCTCAAAATAATCAAAAAACGAAAACTGCTTATTTGGGGTGATATGTTCTGAGCCTCTTCAGTCACAACAGCTGAAACTGTAAAGGGAAGGTGATCACTTTCAATGTCCCACTGCCAGTCCCTCTTTATTTATACAGACCCCATTCAGACACTGCCATATCAGTAAAGCTATTGCTTTCATGTAATTGAAATATTAAGCATAATCAATAAAAATCTGTAATAACAGATAATTATAATTTTGGAGCCATCAAAAATAACCTCAAGGGAAAAAGGGTTAGAAAATCATTGTTAGGGAGGCTCAGGCCTGTGCATGTCTTATTAGGAGCTCTGATACTCTGACTGTAGTTCTCTCCCCTTGTCAGGAGTCCTTGCATCCCTCCAAAACACTGGTCTCCCTAAGCACTTGCACTTCTTCCTTGCTCCATGAGGTACTTTATTATTTCCACCAGCCGAGCTGCCTCTCCCCCCCAAAACCACAGGAACAAGACAGCCCTGCAGCTTGCTTGCAGCCCAGCTTTATAGCCCCAAAAGTTACACAAAAGGGGGTTACAGGACACTCTAACACGTGCCCAAGGAGAAAAGGGACGCTACTCACAGGGTCCTTAATTTGCCCCAGATGGGAGTTCGGCCCTGTAGTATGCGGGCACAGGCAACTTTGCGTTCGTGGATTCCCTTATACAGTAAGCGCCGAACAATCTTCATAAACTACTGCAGGCTGTCAACTATTGGAACAATTGTGCATCACAGCTCCTCTGCTTGATCTAGTGGGTGGCTCTGAAAAGAGCCTTTGGTTTTAGGAAGGTTAGGTTATAGGGACTTCACTTTCCCTTGGCCTTGTGGTGGCTCTCGGTCTTCTTGGGCAGCAGCACCGCCTGGATGTTGGGCAAGACACCGCCCTGCGCGATGGTGACTTTGCCCAGCAGCTTGTTGAGCTCCTCATCGTTGCGGATGGCCAGCTGCAGGTGGCGAGGGATGATGCGCGTCTTCTTGTTGTCGCGGGCCGCGTTGCCAGCCAGCTCCAGGATCTCGGCCGTCAGGTACTCGAGCACCGCCGCCAGGTAGACGGGCGCGCCGGCCCCGACCCGCTCGGCATAGTTGCCCTTGCGCAGGAGACGGTGGACTCGCCCTACCGGGAACTGCAGGCCGGCGCGGGAGGAGCGCGTCTTGGCCTTGGCCCGCGCCTTGCCACCCTGCTTGCCGCGTCCAGACATACTGAAGTGGCTTTGGAAGTCGCTGCAATCTAACCTGAACTAGCCAGAGCTGGTTACTTATAGTCATTCCCGGGCGCGAAAATGACACTCTGCCATTGGCTCCAATTACACTTTCACTTTAACCAATGGTATGATGGCTGTGAAATATACTTAGTTTGATTGGATAAAGTTAGTAGATGACGTATCTAGAGTCACCACTAATTAGGGACTCAACTTTGCCCCAGAACCTGCCAAAGGAGACGCAGCTAAGTCGTACACTCTTTGTTCCTGTTGTACTTTTCGGCAGGTCCTCTCCACCATGCCAGAGCCCTCTAAGTCCGCCCCAGCCCCGAAGAAGGGCTCCAAGAAGGCGGTGACCAAGGCGCAGAAGAAGGACGGCAAGAAGCGCAAGCGCAGCCGCAAGGAGAGCTACTCGGTCTACGTGTACAAGGTGCTCAAGCAGGTGCACCCCGACACCGGCATCTCGTCCAAGGCCATGGGCATCATGAACTCGTTCGTCAACGACATCTTCGAGCGCATCGCGGGCGAGGCCTCGCGCCTGGCGCACTACAACAAGCGCTCGACCATCACGTCCCGGGAGATCCAGACGGCGGTGCGCCTGCTGCTGCCCGGGGAGCTGGCCAAGCACGCCGTGTCCGAGGGCACCAAGGCGGTCACCAAGTACACCAGCGCCAAGTGAGTTCGCACACTGCAGAGCCGTAGCCTCAGCCCACACCACAAAGGCTCTTTTAAGAGCCACTCACTCCTCCAAAGAGAACTGGCACTCGCATATTTTATCGTGCACATTTATTTGTTGCATAAAATAGTTTCTATGTTTCATTAGTCTTGTTTGATTCGCGAGCATATAAAGAAGGTTACTTTTTCTTCCCCCAAAATAGCCCACCTGTAAGTGCGTGTACCTGGCGAAATTTAGTTGGACATTGGATAATTTACCAGTGTCCCTTATTAATGGGGCACTGGACATCAAGACTTGGAGAGTACTCTTAAGATTTTTCTTTTGAAAGCGATGTTGTTTCCCCCCTATTTGAATTTGCCAAATGTTAAGAAAGAAAAGCAAAAGCCAGAACCCCATTCGTGAATCCTACGCGTCAATCAGGGCTGAGTTGGTTCAGTAGCCAATCCAGACGCTGCGCGGGCAATTTGAAAATTAGCTACCGGTTTCTTTGACTAGTTGGGAGATTGAGGCGGGGCTGTTGGTGGTGGACCTTTACCAGTCAACCCATCCTTTACTTTGCGGAATTCGCTCTCCAGGACAAGTTGGTTTCTGCTCTCCTCCTTTCTTGGTGTGGTACACATGATGCTTTCTTTCTCTGTCACTTTCACTTCATATTTCTCTACTAAGTGGAATAAATTTGAAAAGGAAAGGAGAAAGAAGAGCTGTTCCACTATCCCTCAACCCAGACTGCCTCTGGAAAGTTTAAAGATAATTTTTATTCAGTTAGTGTACTCCAGTAACTTAACTAATTGATTTATGGGTGTTTAGGTGAGAATATTCTGCGTACGTGCAACAGGAAACATACAAGAATAGAGCAACAATATTAACAGTGAGCTCGTGTTTATGGTAAAAAGGATAAATTCTAAGGTTGAGGTATGTTCACAGGATGCTTATCATACAGAGGAACGTCAGTATTAGCTTCATGATACCATTTTATAAATATAAAAAAAAAGATATCACTTTTTTAGAGGTTAAATAAACACCCCAAATTATATAGTGTTTAAGTGTATTTAGAAGCATGTATATGATAATAAACTTTTAAAAGGAGACATTCATAACTACATTTTTAAAAGTATCCAGCAGTGGTCTCTGGTAATAAAAACAGGGAAGTGGAATGGGGAAAGCCACAGAGGTCAGGACAAATAGCTGCAAGCATTTTATGTTGGAGGTTAAAAGTTTGGCCTGTGTGTTTGATATAATTTGCTTGTTTTATACTTTACATGTATATCATCTGTGTTCCCTTCATGTATCAAATATTGTACTGCAAATAGTGAAAGTAAACATGTAAAAATAAGTTCCAAGCCATGTAACTTGTATTCAGAAAAATGTGTAAATGAGAACCCTGTACCTAGTAGTGCTTTTCCAGATTTTATTTCTTTTAGAGAGAAGGGAAGGGAAAAGAAGCTTGACAGACCATTAAAAAGGCCCATGGATTCAGTAAGCTCATTCTTTTGGTTAAGATTCATTCATCAGCCAACCTCCAGATATCTTTGCTCCCGATTCTGCAGACTTCTAGGAAGTACTTGGGGGATCTTGGTGTGACTTCAGTTGGTTTCTTCACATTATTTGATGTATTGAATCTGCACGTAGTATAAAACTGATAGAATTCATGCTTCATGAAATTCAGCTAATGAAATGCTCTTTCCCCTGCTTCAGCAGCTACCTAAATCCCCAGTGAGCCTCCAACGCTGGCTATGTGAGGCCTGGGTAAAACTAGACTTCTTTTAGTTCCTCCAGCTCTTGTAAACCTCGCCTCTGCACAGCCTCTCACAGAATCTCGGTGCCATCTCTCTGTGGTGTCAATGTGCACTGGTATTTTGTATGTCATACGTTTACATGTGTGGGTGTGCATCCCTCCATCATTTTGTTAGAACAGGCACTGTACGTTTCTTTCAGTTATATATCTTCTCCTACTTCTTACCACCAACACATTTGAGGAGAGTAAATTCAGTCTATGTTTATTTAATGATTCCTTATGGCACAGGTGACTTTGAACTTCTGTCAATATAGTCAGCAGCAAATTCTGGTATTGGTCTAACCAGTTAACCAGAATGAGGGAAGCAGCGGATATAATCCAGAGAGGAAATGAAAATGATTTAGAGGGGTTAAGTTTCCTAAGTATATTCTCTAGCCAGGATGAAGATGACAGAGGCTATTGCTTATTAAAATTACACAGGGAAGTCACAGGCATATGATAAGTTTTGGTTATCAGGACCTACATGAGAGACTTGGAATTGTCAGAAGGAAAGAAGTCTAGAAGAATGCAGGGGTAGGGTGGCTAAAATCTGTGCAGAATGGAGAAACACATACAGAAGGAATTTGTGATCTCTCAAAAGATTTATGTATCAGCATCGTTGGTCTCCATTATTTAGAAAGTCAAAATTCTGGAAACACACAAAAGGAACAAACAAACAAATCCCAAATCAGAAGAACCCAAGGGTAGATTTTTGTGTTATTTGCATCTTGGTGACCCCAGTGCCTAACCTTTTGTTGTTGAATAATCTTGATGAATTGATGACATTTCTTACCACCCAGCTTGGGAAACTGATTTCCCCTAACTTAAAATAGGATGTTGCTTCATTGTTTTATTCTGGAGTTCATACCTGGTATCTTTAATAATTTATATAAATTGTTTCAAGTATTTTTTTTTTTTTTTTTTGTCAATCTTTTCCCCAGTTTCAAAAAATAAAAAGGGCCAGGAATTTGGCTTAGTGGAAGAGGGCCTTGGGTTCAATCCCAGTACTAGGGAGAAAAAAAGAAAAAAGATTTTCCCTGAAGAACAATTTATGGAGCAGAAAAGAGCACTCTCCACCATTGAAGTAGAAGAGGGAATATGATCCTGAAGGACTTTACCGCAAGCTGTGTCACCACCAGGGGCCGCATCCAGCCTAGAGGAACTTCATTGGAAAGAGAGCACTCCTTCCCTGGGAGCCAGTAAGAAACTTGACAGAGCTTAACTTCAGTCCTTCCAGATTCAGGCATGCCACCCTGCTTCAATTATGACCTTATAGTGGACAGATATGTTAGTGTTGTCTGAGATAAGTTTCGGATTGCTAGCATCTCTTCATCAGAAACTTCTCAGCCATTCAAACACACTATTTCTGCAGGTGGACGTTTTATCCATTGCCTTTCGCTTCCTAACTTTGACTTCTGTGGCTGTGCTTTTCTGATACAATCATCAAATCTTAAATTGGTTCCTGCTGGGAGACTTTGGTAATGCAAAAGTGCAGCACCAAAGCCCCAATGAATCAAAACACAACCCAAGAGTGTTTTCCCAGGCTGGAAAATAATTAAGAAATTGCTTGCAAATGAATATTCCTCAGGGTTGATGCATGTGAGTGGTTTCACCAGGGTTTGTGGCGGACCTGAGGTGGAAGGAGCAATGCTGGAGGTTGGGTACTGAGAGGTTCTGAGGACAAGTAAGCCCACAGGAGCCCCAGGACTCCACCGTTCAAGGAGGAACAACAGAGCACCTGAACTAATGTTCTGTGGTCCTGCTAGAGAGACGTTTTCTATTTTTGAATTGAGAAATTAGGAAAAGTGGGAAGGAAACAGAGGTTTTGAAGTTATTGATTTGAGGAGAACCTTTAGACCCCAAGACACAAAGGCAGACGCCCAAGTCAGGGCAGGCCTAGAGCAACAGCTGGTGTTCTGCCCTTCTACTGACTCCTGTGAGGTTCAAGCTTCTGTGTGAGACGCAGTGTTCCCACACCTGTCAGTCCCAAGTCTATCTGCTTATATCTAATTTTTTTTGGTCCCCTTTCCAGCCTGAAATCAAATTCTTAGGTAGTAAAGTTTCTCTTAATGTTTTGAAAAAAAAGAAAAAAAATCACTAAAATAACTTACTATGGTATAAAAGCTAAATAAGAGATAGTTATTTTAATAATAAAGGACATGTTCTCCACATGTAAATGCTTGGGCCTTACACTAGAAAATTGAAGTTTTTGGCTGTTTTTATCTCAATTGGAATTATCCCAAATACAGATGGAGCTGGCCAACTCAGGTGACTTAGATGCCAGCAAGAGTTGCTCTCAATGATGCCACTTTTCTTTATTGCAAATGTTAATAACTCTTGGATGACATTGAACAGAACAAGATATAATCTTTTCTTAATTCATAAAGTGATTACATTCTTGGAAAATTTAGTGCATATTAAACTACACACAAAAACTACCTACCTCTTGTGCCTATGTGTAGAGGAATTAGGTTCTAGGCTCAGAGAGATTTTTCACCTTCAGTTTTACTTTGAGATACGTGGAGTTGCGACATGACATAAGACAACTCTTCGCAGGAAGTCTAGTC